TAGGACCCTGCTCCGGGGAGGAAGGCCGAGGCGCCCGGGGCTGGCAAGCAGAGCCCGGCCTCGCCTGAGGCCTTCGGGCCCAGTTGACGTTCCCTTCGTTCAATTATAAAGCCAATCAGTGCATCCGTTAGGAAGCTAATTGTAAGAGCGATCGGAGGGCTTCAGGGCGTCTCTAGCCCCTTTAATAAATCCCGAACCACCGTGTAAATGCTTCCCACGCTATTGCTAGTCGGGCGCCTGGTACGTAACAGGTGCTCAATAAAATCTGCCAAGTAAGCAGCCTTCTTCCACCTTTGCCCCCATTTCTCCACCCCGGACAGTCCCTGCTTCCGACCCTCTCGCCAGCACCACCCCCTCCTGTCCTCCGCCGCCTGGGGCTCCGGGTTCTCCCCCTTCTCCCGGCACCTCTGTAACCAGGGATGTTGCCCTGGGCAACTCCGGCCCTGGCTGTGCGTCTCCACTCTGCGCGAGCGATGAGTGGCCGCGCCTCCCAGGTGCCCTCGCCCTGCCCCCGACCGTTCTGGACGGTTCTGGTGACGAGGGACACAGGCCTCCCCCAGACCAGGTTGCAGGGTCCCAGCCTTGCCCCCGGGACAGCCAGGAGGCAGCCTCTGCAGGGGTCCGCTCCCTGCTGGTCCCCAGGGCCCCTCAAGGACCTCCCCACCTCCTCGCTGTTCCCTCCACCTCCTCCCCCTTCCGCAGCCTCTGGCCTCAGCTTCCCCTGGCTCAGCCCCCACGGCTCAGAGGCTCCTTCTCAAAGGCGGACTGGAGCCCGGCTGGTGCGGCTCAGTGGTTGAGCACCGACCCAGGAACCGAGAGGTCACGGTTCGACTCCCAGCCGGGGCGGACGCCCTGGTTGCAGGCTGGGTCGCCAGTGGGGGGCGTGCAGGATCGGTGATGCTTCCCTCTCATCGATGTTTCTATCCCTCTATGCCTCGCCCCTCCCCCCTCTAAAAATCAATAAAAACATATTAAAAACAACTAAGTAAAGGCAGAGCCGAGCCGTCCGCCCCTGCTCAGCGGCCCCTCTGAGGCCGAGGAAGGCCAGCTCC